ATAAATACAGTCTCTTTTGGAGCATCATGTATTTCCAATAATAGTTCTGCATGGTGTTTTAATTGTTTTTTGTAGCTGCAATGGTTCCTGGTAAGCTGCCTATTTACAGCGTTTACGAGTGTGTTTCTCTACATCTTATACCCAACCTACCTCATACCAGTGCCGCTACGGAACGTTTACGGAAGTGGAAACGAAAGTCTGCTACGAAACTTCGAATTCTTTACCAAATCGAGCAGCGACAGACCTATACCTGTCTCTTATACACATCTAGATGTGTATAAGAGACAGACTTAACATTGACTATATAGAAATGTTATCATTATTTTTACTAATTTAAATACAATTGGGGTTATTTTTTCATCGTTTAATGTTTTACTTCATTTCTCTTTGCGTGTGATTTTTTTGGGCCATGATCTAGGATTTCAGTATCTTTTGATGAAATATAAATCAACACAAAGAAATCCATTCGGCCGTCATTCAGATAGGAATTAATTATAAATAATACGCACACTTTACGACATTTTACAAGGAGGTCATAAAAGATACGTAGCTCTAGTCTTGCATCTGTGGAGGTTGATTTCAAGTAGCTTAGCGATGGATTCAACCACAAATAGCATCTTTAATTTCTTAAACGATCGAATGTGTAACCCAACACTGCCTTCTCGGTGCTATGATGTTGAATTAATCATTTTGTAAAGGTGTTATTTGCTAACTCAAGATGTGGAATGGAACCACAGACAGACGGCTCTTTATTGAGTGGATCCACGCCTTAAAGATTATTATTATTATTATTCTTATTATTATTATTATTATTATTATTATTATTATTATTATTATTATTATTATTATTATTATTATTATTATTATTTATTATTATAAAATATTACTACTTAAATAATTATTAATAATTATTAATCGTATTGAATCATTATTATCTCTGCAACAATAACAATACATCATGATCCAGCAATACATACTAAATCAGAATGTATACAGTACTGTACCTATTCTGAAATAACAATGAATTATAATTTAATTAAACTATAGTTCCTCGATTTAATTTAGATTGAATAGTTGGTGCCACTAACCATACCAATAATGTTTATTGACATCACCATTTTAATCATTATTATCTCTGCAACAATAACAATACATTATGATCCAGCAATACATAGGCCTACTAAAACAGAATGTATACAGTACCGTACGTATTCTGAAATACCAATAATTATAATTGAATTAAACTCTAGTTCCACGATTTAATTTAGATTGAATAGTTGGTGCCCTAACAATACCAATTGATCACCATAACAATCATGATAGAGTTACATACAAATTACAAAAACAGAAAATTATGAGCGTTTGTCAAACGTAAAGACGTGCGACATACAGTAGCTTCCGCAACTCTATATTCAGTATATCTTGCAATTTATTATTTCCCATAAACGGACTCTCTTTTTAAAAAATGCACTAGGCCTTATGTGACGTCATCAAGAACGTTAAATAAATGTTCACAGGTCAGAAGTTCACATCATGCATTATTATTGCAAGGCTATGCACATTCAGAGAAGCAATCAAAGATGTCAATGGTTTCGTCCGTTTTATCCTCTAATAAAATACAATTTCTAAATAAAAACACATTGAGTCTAAAATTGTTTAAAAATTAAGAACAAAATAAGAACAAATTAGTGTAGGTGTGACTATGTAATACCCTCTATAAGACAGTTCAGTTATACTGCTGTACAATAACAATTTTTTGTGCCGGATTGAGTGTGTAAAAATAAGAACAAAATAGAGAATCTTGAGTCTGAAATCGGCCAAAAAATAAGAACACCTAGTCTGGGCAAAATGTTCTAGTTTCTTATTTAAAAAAAAAGTGTATAAATGCCTACTTTTATTGTCAGCATGAGGTATTTTGAAAACCTATAAAAGTTTCAGAGGCGGATCTATGATGGAAGTGTAAGTGTTGTGTGGGGTGGTTGCGGCTATGTAGGCTACAGATTAGAAGGGGGTGGGGGATATTTAAGAAATTACCAGTCACAATTGAATGCGAGTCCTCGGGCTGCTACTACAGTACGGTAGGCCTATTTAATCGTTATATTTCGATCTAATGTTTTATTATTTATGTAATTACTTTCTTGACTTTTTTAGTAGTTGTATCTGACTGTTTAATTCAGTGCCTGTCTGTACCCATTGTTAATTGTTTAGGCCTGAGAAGGCCTATATTCTCACAATGTTTATATGCGCTTCATATTTTTATTACAGTAAAAAGGAAATAAATAAATTAAAAAAAAGGAAAAAGGAAATTAATAAATAAATAAAATAAATACATAATCCGGTAACTTCACACGACTTCTAAGTACAGGTTGTTGTGCAGCTCAGTGTGTTTCATTCAGTTTACTTAATATATTTTAGTAAGAATTTTTCTTTTTAGATAATAAGGGTAAAATGTTACTGTAAATTGCTTGGTTTTGTTTTTGTTATGCTATTTACCCTTTTGTTGTTTTGAACTGTCTTTTGCTTTCCTTTGCTTATATTTTATATTGTTAATGGGTGCACCATCTAAGTGATGGGTGCCACTGATCTAAAAGTGAACCCAATAAATCGTATCGTATCGTATCGTACAGTAATTAGAAACAGTCAAGACCTAACCACTGGATCGGTGACCTAACATAACATTCTTATTGTGAAGTCTGAGGGGCCAAGGCCCTGACGCATAGGTTGACTGTAAATGTTTATGCTATTTTAAGCAGTTCTAAAACTATACTGAAGAAATGATAATTTTGATCCGTTCAATCTTGGCCGACTAAGAGTGGGAGCGTAGCATGGCCTTTCCACCCTTTGATTCCCTGCCGAAAGGCCTACTGTCAGTGTCACTGCATCCTTTGTGTCTATAAATACAGTCTCTTTTGGAGCATCATGTTATTTTCAATAATAATTCTGCATGGTTTTAATTGTTTTTTGTTGCTGCAGTGGTTCCTGGTAAGCTGCCTATTTACAGCGTTTACGAGTGTGTTTCTCATCTTATACCCAACCTACCTCATACCAGTGCCGCTACGGAACGTTTACGGAAGTGAAAACAAAAGTCTGCTACGAAACTTCGAATTCTTTACCAAATCGAGCAGCGACAGACCTATACCGTCTATGCCCAAGATGTAAGTATATACTCGTTTGTATTATTATAATTCCCTTCTTTATAGCTTATTTTGGTAATTTATCTCAGTCTTTTTTTAATTAGTGAAAGGCATGGATGGAAATTAGAATGTAATTTAGGATTTTGACACGGCCAAAAGAATTCATTTTTATATTAATTTTTTTTTAAATTTATTTTAATTGTGCATTTTAAAACCAGGTGCGTTTAAAACATTATTATTACCGGTATTATTACCGCTAAAGCAATCTGAGTGAACAAGTAGATTATAAACTTTAAATACTTGGTATATGAATTTATTTATAAACGAAAAAAAAAAATGAAATGCTAAGGATAGGTGTAAAGGCAGACCAATAATTTAATTTGGGCGAGTCGATTTACCGAGCGGTAAAACAGGGCATCGCTAACAACTGCTAACGTCGGCTGGTTCACAATCCTCGTCCAGCTGGGTTCGGAATTAAAAACGGAAGATCCCGTATATTATACAAGTGGCTCGTGTGCATTTTAAAGAACCCATCTTTCTAAAGAATAGGGAGTTATCCCAATACTATGGTTCATTTCAGCCCCTGTTGTTGTGGAATGAGTTTAACCAGGGAGTTGTTATCAACTCCCTGGTTAAACTAAGCGCTGCTACATCATTAGTCACGCACAGCGCTACCTTTAATTATGTCATCCGGGTAGCACGTCGACTCTCGCTGGCTAAAATCAGGATTTTGGACCTTATGGAGCCTGGGAATATTAATTAGCTTTTTTTTTTAGTAAAAAGAATTTGTTGCAAATACTGTTTCGAAGCCCTAGCTTTTTGCAATAAGAAAGGAGATAGCCTAATGCAACGATATCAGTCAGATCAAAATGAATCAAAACCATAATTAGTAGTTCCAAATTTTCCAAAAAGTCGTAGGCCTAGCTTAGCTACAAAGTAAAGAATAATTTATCAAATTTTATTAGTACAACAAATCAGAGAGATAATATCTTTAAAATGATTCACGATGAACATAAATAGCTACCGTATAGACAAACATTGAAATTCACAAACCACAGATACACAAGGCACTAACTAAGTGTGCGGCCATAAGGTTTAATAGTTCAGGTATGATTTCAATTAAGTTGTGGGTTGGTACCTGAATATTAATTGGCATTTCCAACTGCGAGAAACGTACTGTGACTTTATACGTGATGCAATGAAGCTCATTTTTAATAATACACAGTATAGTTGTTATGAATTAGATGTTAAAACTTTTCTCTCTTAGCCTAAATAATTAATAAAGCATTAAAATGAATGAGGAAGGATTTATTTTGTTTTAACTTTATTTATACTTGCTAGATTTTTTAAAAAGGAAATTACGAATTAATGAAGAAATGTACCTGTTTTATGGTTACTTTTTACAATAATAAAAATATTCATTCTTCTGCACGAATTCAGCGTTCACGTAGCAGCCCTGTTCCTTCCAATTCTTTCACCAATATACACGAGAATCGTACCGTCGAGTTTTGTAACTGCATCGACAACAGAGTATGAAATTGAGTATGGTCTCGATAAGAAAAAGGACAGAATTAGGCTAGTCGTTCATTCAAGTTTTGTCAGATTTTCAAGTCACTAATAATACAATGTTCAAGCAATATCAACTACAGAAGTTCGAGATACCCTACTTGTACAGAAGTAAAATAAATGTGCTCACTAATGTTTGATTACATATTTAGTCAGAGCATCATGTATATTTTCTTTATGTTTTGTATTTTTAGGCTCAATGCCAAGTGCACATAGCAAACTTAACCACTTACTATGTGGCAATCCCTTCATAAGACAAACATAAGGACATTTTGAGCCTGAAATCGGCCAAAAAATAAGAACATTGAGTCTGGGCAAAATGTTACTGGCTCTTATAAAAAAAAAGTGTACGAGGTTAATTTCACAGAGGTCTAGGCCTACTATTCAAAATTGTTGTTTCTGTGCAGCACCGATACAAGTCCTATTACAAATATAAGTTCTTCGTGGTCTGAATGGAGAGTGGAACCTGATTGACCAACTCAAGCAAAATTAGTGCTTTACGTGGGAATTTTGGTCTGGAACCTAAATTTGCAATATCCTATGTCATGACATTCCAGTACACTAGTAAACTAAGCTACAGTAAGCCTTGTGATCCTTGGAGGTATCCTCTCAGTTGGTCGAAATCTAATTTGTCGAAACCCGGTTTGCCGAATTTAACCCACTTTGCCGAAAACCCACTTTGCCGAATCCAATTTACCGAAAACATGAAATCCCAGTTGTGGTGGGGTGGGGGAGGGGGACGGTGTCCGAGGTCTCCGGATCGAAAAAAGTGGGTGTGGTCGGACGTCGCTCAAAATCTCTCAAAAGGGTTCCAGGGGTGAAGCCTCTGAAAAATATGACAATTAGGGGTTTCAAAGGCATATTTAATCGATTTTGGAGTCTACTAGTATATAGAAAATACCCCTATCAGCAGCAAGTCTCACTATCCAAATATAAAGTATTTCCCTGTTTGGATTCTCTGCAGATATTATTCTCATCAAGCAACAGTTCTTTTCAGAACTATCTACGTTGTGTACCGCAAGCATTAATATATTATTACTTCGCCATGCAAACCTTCAAACAATGTAATTTGAATTAATCATACCGTACAACATTGTAGTTTTACTATGCATTGTTTTGTATCATTTATGTTGATTCACAGAATATTTTATTCATTTTACAGAGGAAGAACCTTGTCGAAAGTTGAGGGTTCAGATGGAGGCACTGAGTCGATGAACGTTGAGCAAACCAAAGAACCGGAAAAGTACAAACTTGCACAAACTCCGGGAAGAAACATTCCTGCTGTTGCCGCTATGAATGGAACGACACAGGAGGTTGTCCGCTCCATGTTGTGGCTAGATCATGGAAAAGACTCAACGTGTTCACCTTTGCAACATAATGTGGCATTCATTAAAACCCACAAAACTGGAAGTACAAGCATTGGTCACTTGATTAATCGATTTGGTTATCACCATCGATTATCGTTTGTCTTGAATAAACACAGCCGAATTAATGGACATTTGGTGTATTATAATATCACGAAAAACACTGCAAAGCTAATGTTTTTGCCACCTATTAACGTTAAACCGCGTGATTACAAGCATTACAAGTATAACGTCATTGCAGTACATGTCCGGTACATGCGACCCGCAATGACCTCGTTTATGAAGCCAGGCACAAAATATATAACAATTCTACGAGATCCGGGCAGTCAATTTGAGTCCGCCTTTTCTCATTTTAAGTTCGATGATGCATTCCCGTTAGAGGAAAGACGGAATTTTAATACTACTGTAGATAAATTAGAACACTTTTTAACAAAACCAATATTTTACCGTGACCGATTGAAAGTGCTATCATGGGAAAATACTCCAGGACTGCTGTGGTTTTACGCGCGAAATAATCAAGCTTTTGATCTGGGGTTAGATCATAAGTATCACATGAATACAAGTATTGTGGAGAAATTTATCAACAGGTTAGAGCGAGAGATGACAGTAGTTTTGCTAACAGAGTACCTTGACGAGTCTTTACTCATTTTGCGCAAGAAAATGTGCTGGACATGGAGTGATATACTGTACGTTGCGAAAAACAGACGGCCCGAAGTGGAGACTTTACCAGAGTTACTACGCGAAAAGATGCGTTCGTGGAACGCTGTGGACTCTATGTTGTATAACAATTTCAATCGTACACTGTGGAAACATGTTGAAGAATATGGCCAAGAATTCGCATCAGATTTAGCTTTTTTTAAAGAAATGTTGGTGCAAGTGTTCAACGAGTGTGTTTTAAAGCAATATAAACAAACTACGGGACGTGGTTTTCACTGGATAGAATACCAACAAAGACAAGGATCATCCAGCGAGTGTGAGCTCCTTGTTGAAACTAAAAGAAAGTTATTTAGTAGAATATGGAAGCGACAATCTGTCATGCGCAGGAGAAGAAATAGAAAAAAAAAGAAAATAAAATAATAGCCCAGAACGTCTCAAAAGTATTTTCGGGCGTCTAGAACTCAAAAATTGTTATATAAAATAGGTTTGTTATAAAACTTCTGAAAGGTTTCTTCTTTTGACCAGCCTGCCATTACCATAATATGTTCCACCGGCACTTGTCTTATATTAGCAGCCGACGCCGCTGCTGTCCTATAATAATAATAATAATAATAACAACTTTATTTTATAACGGTCAAAAAACTCGTTCACCCAAGTGGGTGTTCTTCCACGAGGCCGTATGGACATTAAACAAAATAATTGTGTTAGATTAAAATAATTAAGTGTTAGTACAAAGAAAAAACAAATATGTATAATACATAATAATGGTTATTACATTACTATGTTTCTTTTAAAAAGTTCTAGTGTGCTTGAATTTTTTATATTGCTGTCTAAATTATTCCACAAAAGAGCCCCCCGGTAACATAGACTTCTTTTTTTTATATTCCGTTCTTGGCTTGGGTACGTTAAGGTTGTCATTTGACCTAGTGTTGTATTTACTTTCTCTTTGAATAAATCTATTTTTTAAATAATTAGGAGCTAAGTCATTCATTATTTTGTACATTGTGATATTTTCATTAATGTTGAGCATTAAGTATACAGTAAGTTGTGGTGTCAACTGGAATAAGTGAACAAATTTGGGCAACAGAATTTTGAACTCGTTATTATGTGATAAAATGGGAATTCAGGTAAACTGATAAACAAATAATTTTTCAGATTTCCCTGGGCCCACAACAGCCAACCGATCGGCCAACAAACCTAGCTCCGCTCCATGTGACAGAATTACGTCGGACAATGACCATTGGCGCAGTGTGCCTGACTTTAGCTTACTGTAAAGCTAGATTTACAATAGACACAATAACGACACATCATCATATTCTTCAACACTGTGCGCATCTGCATCATGTCGTCGTAGTGTTGTAATCGTGTCTAGTATAATACATGTAGCTTAATAAGGGATCCCAATGATGCCATGGTACAGATATGTCAGTAAAATAATTTGAACCATTACAGATAATCTATTTACATTCTGAATAAGGAAAAATGTTTTAAACTATAATTGTTTCCAAGTACTGTAATTATTTCCTCATTGTAGATTGTTTTGTAATATTTGTAATTTATTTCTTAATATTTTGTTGCACCTCCCCCAAACTATATTGCAATAGTCAAAATGGGGTGCAACAATAGCTTTATATAGAAGGGATTGTAAATGAGCGGGAATTAAATCACTGGATTTCTTAAGAAAAAATAAGCCTGGAAGAACTTTAGATCTAATATGATCAATATGCGTATTCCAATTTAAAGTTTCATCAATGTGCACTCCTAAGTGTTTACAATGATGAACTCTTTGCAATTGAGAACCATTTATATTAATATCTAAGTTAACATTAGACAACTTTGATAATTTTTGGTGTGTGCCAATAATCATCAATTCTGTCTTCTTTACATTCAGACTTAATTTGTTACTGATTAACCATTTCCTTATATTTTCTAGGTCAATATTTATCTTATGGGTTACATCTATAATGTCATCAGAAGCATAATAAAGGGCAGTATCATCAGCATACATACTAATTGTCCCATATTTTACAACACTTGGAAGGTTATTAACATATAATAAAAAAAAGGAGTGGACCCAAAATGGATCCTTGTGGGATGCCACATACCACTTGGCATTGTTTAGATGATTTACCATTTATTATTGTTTTTTGTTTACGTTCAGAAAGATAGCTTTTGAACCAGTTTAAAGAAAGATTACTCAGTGCAAACATACTTAATTTTTTAATGAGGATGTCATGATTCACGGTGTCAAACGCCTTTTTAAGATCTAACATAACAAGACAAATATATTTGCCTTGGTCTATTGCATCTATCCAGTCTTCTGTTACGTTAATGAGGGAAGATAGTGTGGAAAAATTTGGACGGAAACCTGATTGTTTTTCATAAATTAAAGAGTTATTATTAAGATAGGGGTATAATTGATCAAAAATTGTACGTTCCAGTATTTTAGATAAAATTGGCAAAATTGATATTGGTCGATAGTTACATGGCTCTGTATTGTCACCTCCTTTGTAAACTGGACATATTCGGGCACTTTTCCACATTTTAGGAAAGGAAGAGGTTCTAATGGATAAATTTACAATGTATGTTAATGGTGAAACAATAAAATTAATTGCTAATTTTAAAAGTTTAGATGGAATCTCATCATCACCAGTAGCCTTTTTGATTGATAATTTTTGAAGTTGTTTATATATATATTCTTCAATTACTAAATTGAAATTAAATAAGTTTATTGAACCACTTTGGTCAGTAGGAATGTCACTGTTATTTATATTTGGAATTGTTTCAGCAAGCTTAGATCGAACAGTAGAAAAATATTCATTCATTATATTAGCAATATCATTTGGATTTGATTTAAGTTCATCATTTATTTTAATATTATTTATATTTGAATTTTTGCTTTTACCGGGTACAATAGTTCTTAGGTTTTCCCATATTGTTTTAGAGTTTTTAGTATTAATTTTTTCTGACAGAAATCTTTTTTACACTTTTTAATCATATTGTTTACCTTATTTGTTTGCTCTTTAAATTTTTCCCATACTTCAGTTAAATTAAGTGTGGTAGCTTTTTTCTTAAGTAAATCTCTTTTTCTCATTTCGTTAATTAAATCAGTTGTAAGCCATGGGGATTGTTTTTGCCTTAATCTTTTTTTCTTAAGAGGGGCATGTTTATTATTAATATTAAGTAGATTATTTATGAAAAACTCAAGTGCCATATCAATATCATTGTAAAGTGTTAAATTATTCCAGTTAATATTTTGCAGATCAAGTAAAAATGCATTTCGTTAAATTTTTTGTAGCTTCTACTTATTTTAAACTTATGGTTATTGTTAACTTGTTTCTTTTCCTTGCCAATAGAGGCATAAACAACACAGTGATCACTGATACCTGAATGTAAAATTCCTGCTTTGCATATTTTATCTGGGATTGATAACGTCCTCTACTCCATGCAGAGTATTCCTTCTTTGTATCGCCTAAAGATCATTCAGCATAAACCGATATTAAAAGAAGTACTGTTGTGTCTAACCACGGCTTAGGCAAATGGAGTGATCAGGGCGCCAAGGGAGCCATTATCGTAATCTCTGTACAAACCACTCGCGTGTGTAATACTGTAGGCCTAATATCAAACATCTGCTGTATATTTGTATGAAGTTGCCCATAGCCCGAATGACAAATAAGGTAAATTTTGGTTTAAAAAAAATATGTTGCGATGCGGCGTCCATTGTTTGTAGAAGATAGAGTGAGCGGATTGTCATTGCAACTAGCCGCTGCCTGCGTCTTGTAGCGTTCGTTACGTCGTAGTAGTACGGTAGTTTGTAAACAATCAAACTTGAACAATATAGACTTTTATTCTGCATGTTGACTCGGGTCTATATTTAGTTCTGGCAAACATTGATCCTCATTTTTGCATTTTTCAGAAATAAATCAGTTTAATACCACATTCCAGGTTTTTAAATGATCTGCTACAGTAAGCCTATTTTAAGTATAACACGTAATGGGCCAGATTCAGAATACTTTTGCGGCTAGGGAGGGAGGGAGGGGGAAAGTGCTAGTCGCGAATTTTAATTGTTTCATATCTATTAGTGTGTTCGTTTGGGGATCAAATAGTTTACCTTCCTTGGAATCTCCTTTAATAAACAAAATTAAGCGGTAATTTAACTGTGATTAATAGGCTACGTTCCATAGTTAATTCCCAGAAAATAACACGAATCTACCCAACACTGATTAATTCGTCATTATTGACACTAAACTCACCCCGGCATGAGATTAATGAATTAGTGATATGAATCTGCATTTCTCTATTTTTCTTAAATTTCCCATAATGAACGTACAAGAAATAATTAACGTACAGCTCGGTTTTAAATGTAGCAGAATCGGCACTCACTAAATGTAATGGGGTGGGGAGCAGAGGGCCTTATAATTTCCGATGTGACACCTAGGAGTCTGCAGAATTATCGGTTAGAAAGAGAAAGTATTATTGTGAAGTCTGAGGTGCCAAGGCCCTGACGCATAGGTTGACTATAAATGTTTATGCTATTTTAAGCAGTTCTAAAACTTATAGTAGGCCTACTGGAGAAATGATAATTTTGGTCCGTTCAATCTTGGCCGACAAAGAGTGGGAGCGTAAGCATGGCCCTTCCACCCTTTGATTCCCTGCTGAAAAGCCTACTGTCAGTGTCAATGCATTTGGTGTCCACCTCAAATATTTTCCACGGGTCATATTTTACATTCAATCCTCTTTGAAAGACCCTTTGTGTCTATAAATACAGTCTCTTTTGGAGCATCATGTATTTCCAATAATAGTTCTGCATGGTGTTTTAATTGTTTTTTGTAGCTGCAATGGTTCCTGGTAAGCTGCCTATTTACAGCGTTTACGAGTGTGTTTCTCTACATCTTATACCCAACCTACCTCATACCAGTGCCGCTACGGAACGTTTACGGAAGTGGAAACGAAAGTCTGCTACGAAACTTCGAATTCTTTACCAAATCGAGCAGCGACAGACCTATACCGTCTATGCCCAAGATGTAAGTATATACTCGTTTGTATTATTTTAATTCCCTTCTTTATAGCTTATTTTACCTGGTAATTTATCTCCGTCTTTTTTTAATTAGTGAAAGGCATGAATGGAAATCAGAATGTAATTTAGGATTTTGACACGGCCAAAAGAATTCATTTTGATATTATTTTTTTTTAAATTAATTTTAATTATGCATTTTAAAACCAGGTGCGTTTAAAACATTATTATTACCGGTATTATTACCGCTAAAGCAATCTGAATGAACAAGTAGATTATAAACTTTAAATACTTGGTATATGAATTTATTTATAAACGAAAAAAAAAAATAAAATGCTAAGGATAGACCAATAATTTAATTTGGGCGAGTAGATTTACCGAGCGGTAAAACAGGGCATCGCTAACAACTGCTAACGTCGGCTGGTTCACACTCCTCGTCCAGCTGGGTTCGGAATTAAAAACGGGAGGTCCCGTATATTATACAACTGGCTCGTGTGCATTTTGAAGAACCCATCTTTAATAGGGAGTTATTTCAGCCCCTGTTGTTGTGGAATGAGTTAAACTAATCACTGCTACATCATTAGTCACGCAGCGCTACCTTTAATTATGTCATCCGGGTAGCATGTCGACTCTCGCTGGCTAAAATCAGGATTTTGGACCTTATGAAACCTGGGAATATTAATTGGCATTTTTTTTTCCATAGCCATATGCTAGGAAAAAAAAGTTGTTGCAAATACTGTTTCGAAGCCCTAGCTTTTTGCAATAAGAAAGGAGATAGCCTAATGCAACAATATCAGTCAGATCAAAATGAATCAAAACCATAATTAGTAGTTCCCAATTTTACAAAAAGTCGTAGGCCTAGCTTAGCTACAAAGTAAAGAATAATTTATTAAATTTTATAAGTACAACAAATCAGAGAGATAATATCTGTAATTAATGATTCACGATGAACATAAATAGGTACCGTATAGATAAACATTCAAATTTACAAACCACAGATACACAAGGCACTAATTAAGTGTCCGGCCATAAGGTTTAATAGTTCAGGTATGATTTCAATTAAGTTGTGGGTTTGGTACCTGAATATTAATTGGCATTTCCAACTGCGAGAAACGTACTGTGACTTTATACGTGATGCAATGAAGCTAATTTTTTAAAATATCATATGGTTAATAATACACAGTATAGTTGTTATGAATTAGATGTTAAAACTTTTCTCTCTTAGCCTAAATAATTAATGAAGCATTAAAATGAATGAGCAACTTATTTTGTTTTAACTTTATTTATACTTGCTAGATTTTTTAAAAAGGAAATTACGAATTAATGAAGAAAGGTACCTGTTTTATGGTTACTTTTTACAATCATAAAAATATTCATTCTTCTTCACGAATTGAGCGTTCACGTAGCAGCCCTGTTCCTTCCAATTCTTTCACCAATATACACGAGAATCGTATCGTCGAGTTTTGTAACTGCATCGACAACAGAGTATGAACTTGAGTATGGACTCGATAAGAAGGACAGAATTAGGCTAGTCGTTCATTCAAGTTTTGTCAGATTTTCAAGTCACTAAAAATACAATGTTCAAGCAATATCAACTACAGAAGTTCGAGATACCCTACTTGTACAGAAGTAAAATAAATGTGCTCACTAATGTTTGATTACATATTTAGTCAGAGCATCATGTATATTTTCTTTATGTTTTGTGTTTTTAGGCTCAAGGCCAAGTGCACATAGCAAACTTAACCACTTACTATGTGGCAATCCCTTCATAAGACAAACATACAAAACATAAGGACATTTTGAGCCTGAAATCGGCCAAAAAATAAGAACATTGAGTCTGGGCAAAATTTTACTGGCTCTTATAAAAAAAAAAGTGTACGAGGTTAATTTCACAGAGGTCTAGGCCTACTATTCAAAATTGTTGTTTCTGTGATACAAGTTCTATTATAAATATAGTTCTTCGTGGTCTGAATGGAGAGTGGAACCTGATTTACCAACTTAAGCAAAATTGGCGCTTTACGTGGGAATTTTGGTCTGGAACCTAAATTTGCAATATCCTATGTCATGACATTCCAGTACAGTAGTAAACTAAGCTACAGTAAGCCTTGTGATCCTTGGAGGTATCCTCTCAGTTGGTCGAAATCCAATTTGTCGAAACCCAGTTTGCCGAATTTAACCCACTTTGCCGAAAACCCACTTTGCCGAATCCAATTCACCGAAAACATGAAATCCCAGTTGTGGTGGGTGGGGAGGGGGAGGGGTGGTTAGTGTCCGAGGTCCCTGGATCGAAAAAAGTGGGTGTGGTCGGACGTCGCTCAAAATCTCTCAAAAGGGTTCCAGGGGTGAAGCCTTTGAAAAATATAACAATTAGGAGTTTCGAAGGCTTATTTAATCAATTTTGGAGTCTAGTAGTATATAGAAAATACCCCTATCAGCAGCAAGTCTCACTATCCAAATATATAATTATTTCCCTGTTTGGATTCTCTGCAGATATTATTCTCAACAAGCAACATTTCTTTTCAGAACTATCTACGTTGTGTACCGCAAGCATTAATATATTATTACTTCGCCATGCAAACCTTCAAACAATATAATTTGAATTAATCATACCGTACAACATTGTAGTTTTACTATGCATTGTGTTGTATCATTTATGTTGATTCACAGAATATTTTATTCATTTTACAGTGAAAGAACCTTGTCGAAAGTTGAGGGTTCAGATGGAGGCACTGAGACGATGAACATTGAGCAAACCAAAGAACCGGAAAAGTACAAACTTGAACAAGCTCCGGGAAGAAACATTCCTGCTGTTGCCGTTATGAATGGAACGACACAAGAGGTTGTCCGCTCCATGTTGTGGCTGCATCATGGAAAAGACTCAACGTGTTCACCTTTGCAACATAATGTGGCATTCATTAAAACCCACAAAACTGGAAGTACAACCATTGGTCACTTGATTAATCGATTTGGTTATCACAATCGATTATCGTTTGTCTTGAATAAACACAGCCAACTTAATGGACATTTGGTGTATTATAATATCACGAAAAACACTGCAAGGCTAATGTTTTTGCCACCTATTAACGTTAAACCGCGTGATTACAAGAATTACAAGTATAACGTCATTGCAGTACATGTCCGGTACATGCGACCCGCAATGAACTCGTTTATGAAGCCAGGCACAAAATATATAACAATTCTACGAGATCCGGGCAGTCAATTTGAGTCCGCCTTTTCTCATTTCCAGTTCGATGATGCATTCCCGTTAGAGGAAAGACGGAATTTTAATACTACTGTAGATAAATTAGAACACTTTTTAACAAAACCAATATTTTACCGTGACCGATTGAAAGTGCTATCATGGGAAAATACTCCAGGACTGCGGTGGTTTTACGCGCGAAATAATCAAGCTTTTGATCTGGGGTTAGACCATAAGTATCACATGAATACAAATATTGTGGAGAAATTTATCAACAGGTTAGAGCGAGAGATGACAGTAGTTTTGCTAACAGAGTACATTGACGAGTCTTTACTTATTTTGCGCAAGAAAATGTGCTGGACATGGAGTGATATACTGTATGTTGCCAAAAACAGACGACCCGCAGTTGAGACTTTACCAGAGTTACTACGCGAAAAGATGCGTTCGTGGAACGCTGTGGACTCTATGTTGTATAACCATTTCAATCGTACATTGTGGAAACATGTTGAAGAATATGGCCAAGAATTCGCATCAGATTTAGCTTTTTTTAAAGAAATGTTGGTGCAAGTGTTCAGCGAGTGTGTTTCAAACCAATATAAAAAAACTCAGGGACGTGATTTTCACTGGATAGAATACCAACAAAGACAAGGTTCATCCAGCGAGTGTAAGCTCCTGGTTGAAAATAAAAGAATGTTATTTAGAAGAATATGGGAGCGACAGGATCTCATGCGCCCATTGAGAACACTCAGCCATGTTAAGTGGCTTGCACAGTCTCGTCGAATAAGAAACGGCTACTATTCTCGTACGAAAATGAACCAGAATAGAAACCATACAGAGAGGGGCAACCAAGGGCGGATCTAGTAGGAGGTGGGGGAACGGGGAGGCACGTGTCCCCCCCCCCGTTTTCCCACTAAATTTTAAAATTATCAATGCAAATCAATGTTGTGTTCCACTCATTTACCTATTATGACTGTTGTTCGCCACCCCCACCCCCACCCGCGAAATAGGACTGAAGTTCAATCCCAAAGGGCTAAAGCAAATAAAAGGAAAACGTCCATTTACATCGACGTAGGCCTTCACCAAGTTAAGAAACACAACAGAAAATTATAGAACATCAGATTCAAAGAATTCCACTTAAGCCTGTGATTTGTTCAGATTCGTGATACTGTAATCTGGCAGCCTAGTCATAATAGGAGTACAGTACTGAGTATTTAGAAGGTGACTCACTCGCGCTAACAGGGTCTTAATGACGCAATGTGTGACCACGATGCTTATGTACTTCACGTATGCCTGGTTGCGGCCTCGTCTTCAGACTACTGTCTACTAACCTGATAGCAAATAGAAAAGCTATCGACAAAAAACTTTTTCAAAGTATTGATAACTTGACAACTCATGTTACACGCATGTTTGATGGATAGGCCTAATGACGATAGCCACAACAGTTGTGTCTGAACACGGGATTGTGAGTTGATAAACATACTGTACGCCCCTACTTAGAAATTGTTGAGACATTTAATAATGTAAGAAAAATTAACTACACCGTATCTTTTTTTTTAATCCATAATATAATTTAAACATTTTTATATAGTTTTATTCAGTCAGTAAACCTGCAAATGTCTTGTTTTTTCTCAATTGTTTTTGCAAAAACAGGATGACTCGTTTTTGTTTTTTTATTCACCTCTTTTATGTTTAAATATGTTGTGTTTGAGTTGAAGATTATGAGAAAAGGGACCTTTCCGGCAATTCCTATCCCTTAGAGATATTGTTAAACGTGCGTAAACAGTTGGCGTCTGTGGGACAACCATAGAGCTATTAAACAACTAGAGTGCTGACAAGATGGCGTAGCAATGCAGAGTTATGTATGTGTACCATCCATAGAGCTATTAAACAA